AACAAAAGCGCACATATGAACAATAATAAACAAAATGAAAAGTGGAAATAGTCGAAATGTGTTGCACTTACACTAGTGTGTTGCATGAAGCGCCTTCGTCGGTATTGCTTCGAGGTAAACAATAAATAAATATATAGAGAGCGAAAAAAGTGCAAATAAATAAAGGGAAAAGTGCAATCTTGACAAGGAAAAAGAACAAAGTGCTTGCAACAACAAACCAACGAAGCAGCATTCAAATAAAATAAAAATGAAAAATTTGTAAATGTAAAAAAGAGCAATTAATAAAAAGTACCGTTAAAACAGCATAAATAGAGCGCAAAAAGTAATAAGCGCCAGGGATTTATGCTCAAAATAAAAAGTAAAAAAAAAAAAAAAATAAAAACCTTTTGCGCCATTTTACAACACTTACAACGCGGCAATAATGCTGTTGCATGGACCATAAAAGTATTTGTTTTTATTATTTTAAAGTCATTTTTCATCACCTGCACACCCGCTCGAAATCGTTGTTTGCTGCATTTGAACAAAGACGCCAAGTAAAATAAGTAAAAATATATAAAAAATAACAATTTTTTGGCTAGTGTTGCCTATTTGGTGCTATAAACAGCCATAGCTTGCGGTACCGTTAGTCGCCAAGAAAAAACTGAAACCTATATTCGCATACAGCGTGCGCCTATGAATTATGGCCTACAATGCGGCAGCTTCATATGCCACAAGAAAAAGGCACGCCAACTATGTACGTTTGTATATAGTATGCATGTATATGCAACACTGTAATAACTAATTCGAATCTAAGCAGACACAACGCCAAACCATTCATACTAACTGTAAATTATATTCATTCATTCGTTCGTTTGCGCATTTCCGTTACTGATAAAATTTTAATGCGACATTTTCAAATTCACCACTACCATTATGCATATGTAAGGCTGTATGTGCACACAAGTTACATTACTGCTAAGCAGAGTTGCATTGCAGTGGGATGCAACAGACAGTGGCATGCATTGTTGCAGAGATTAGCTTACATATACATGCATAGACATACCGGCATACATACACATCTTTAAGAATCTGGAAAAAAGGAAGAAAAAAATCGTGCAATAAAACGAATATTACAGCTGATTACAGCTCAAATTGAAATTGATGCCGAAGCTGTAGAGTTGTTGCATATATGTATACTTACGTGCATACATAAATTCGCTTTGTTACATGCATTTATGAGGTCTCGCGGCTAATGCTCCAGCACTGCATTCGATTATTGCATACTGTGGCAGCTTTGAGGCGAGTGTAGAGTAAAGAAGGTGGTAAAGTACGTTCGCTGGTTGATAATATATTATAATCTTCTATATGAAGTACAATCTAGTATTTATGTGTATTTGTGTATTTGAGCGCATTTTGCCTCCCACTTCCACGATAAACGCCATCGTTTCTTTATTCTAAAGCATGCTTTTGTTACTTCCTTTCGCTACGCGAGTAAATGAGGTCATTCAATTATTCACATACACATACACATACTTATACATCAGTTATGCATATTCTCGTATATATGTATGTATGTTTTTACATATACATATAAAATTGTATCGTTTGTCGGGTTACTCAATTCTTTTTAATTGAAGCTTAGTAGTGTAATCTTTGTATGTACGTACATATGTATGTACATATGTGGCTAATGATTGAGTAATCTTTCATATATAACTAACTCAGTTCCTAGAAGTACATATGAGCATAACTCTAAACATATAGCTCACAAATATATTATGCAAACTTATTTACAAATATTATCTCATAATTATATTTTTTTTCTTATACTTGCAGGTACGTAATAATGGCAAACATGAAATAAAAGCTTAGTTGGTAAGTTTGAATCCCACTTTAGGAGCTTAAGATGCAAGATGCTTGTCTTGGAAGGAACAGATCTCAGCTACTTAGCTAACTTTTCTTTCGTGGAACCAGAAGCACTCAGTGCAAAATCTGCTGTAAAGTTTCGGCGATTTCAGACAAATTTAAATCACAAAGGGAGAAGCTAAACCGTATACAAATTTTTCATCACATGAAAGACCTGGAAGCTCAATATTCTTGGCCCGCCAGTTAAGGATATCAAAACGTGTGAAGAAATTTTACAATCATAAATTTTCCTTTAATGGGTTACTTTGGTCCCTTAATCGCCTTCTTGCAAATTCGTTCATCGACATTACTTTCATCGGAAGAGAAAAAAAGTAAAACGCCGGCCAAAAGCTGATTCAAAATTGTAAAAAAAGAATGCAAAAGATGAAGATGAAATCTTTCACATTTTCAAGTAATTACGTTTGGCATCATCTCAATAATTTTAGACGATTTACGTATCACCAAATTTTCTTTCGCACAACTGCTGAGACGTTTACGAAGTGCTCGATTCGACCCCTGTTTTATAACTTGTCCTCAGAGCAGTGCCCTCATTAGTTACAAGCGTCAGTTAATTAATTTCAAGTCAATAAAATTTCTATTCCCACTTCGGATATTTTTATCGTTTACAAAAATTATATATTTACATCTCTTAGATCCTGAGATTGGCGTTTTTTTCCCTGTGACACACAGTGAGATAATGAACACCTACTCTGTGTCTGGCCAGCTTTATTTAGAACAGTTCTTAGATATCTAGAAGCCTCACTCACCGAAGGACTAAAAGATGTTGCAAAATAGTTTAATGAGTTCCTTTAAAAACTTCGTCCAGAAGTATTGTTGGTTTACAAGAAGATTACTTCAATTCGAGTTAAATTGGAACTCCATCCGGCCCAACAAAGGACCAACAAATTTATGTGAGACGTATCTGCTAACCATTAATTTAGCCTGCAAGTCGTTTTATTTTAAAGCAGAAATATAGCAAAAATATCCTTCATTAACCTCTGCTCAGTCTTTCTTTCGTAGCCCGGATCTCTTCGTTTTTTCTTTTCGTTTATTTTATTGTCTTGGTGATATGTCAACCGCGGCGCTACTTCATTTAATTTTGTTTCCTGATCGTTCTACTTAGAACATATCAAAGAAAACTGAAATATACATTAATAAATACCTAAATCAAGTACCCACCGACTTAAGCGCAGAAATAGAGACCCAGGGCCCTCAAATATGAAACATTTTATTCTATAAAACTTGCAAGAAACAAATTTTATTTATACAATTAATCAACTAAAGGAACCGAACGATGAGCTAAACCCGATGCTGACTTCCGAATCTACTTTTTCGTGTTTTGCTTTGCACTCAAACTCAGGTACTAAGCAAGCTTTAACCAAAAATTAATGAAAAAAAACACAAGTAAAAATAAGAAATAAATTCAGTATAGCGGCGCACAACTAATACAGTAGAAAAATGTGCGTACGTGTTTCACACTTAAAATACGATCCCAACCAGAAGGTCGGCACTGCAAGCGTAAGACCCTGCACATACGCCGCACTGAAAGTATTTTCACAAAAAAAACAATTGCACAAAAAACCGTAGGATATTCGATATTACTGACCATGGTTTAATACAAAAAACCCACAAAAACAAAAACTCAAACATATTTCTTTAGTGTATAATAAAATAGGACAAAAGACAAAAAAAAATACAGAAAAGTAATAGAAGCTGAAAAAAAAGACTAGTTGAGCAAACTTTTCACATTCTTTAACAAAGTGTGAAAATTTGTGAGACCAAACTTTTAGTTGCGCACACACACACACAGAACATACCACGGGCCGAACTAGCCAGCGCTGGGCGTTTGCACGTAGTGGGCGTTAAAGTTTTCGAAAAATCAATACATTTTCTATAAATTTTTCATAAGAATTGTTATTTATGTTGTAGGCGATGAAGAAAACTTTTCGACCATTTTATGCCACAAGCATAACTACAACTATACACACCACCCCACTCGGGAGAAAAACTAATATATTTTGGTTTTATTCGTCAGAAAAAATCTCGCAAGAAAACTGCAGTAAAACGTTGCTCATAATATTAAGTTAGAAATGGTCATACTTCCATTACGACGTGCCTGCCAGCGACGTGCCACACGAGCGGCCCGGGTGTCGGTGGTCATGTCACGTGCTAAAGCTAGTGGTGGCTCTACTTGTAGTTGGCCGCTGTCGCCGAAAATGGCAGGTCTATATTATGTGGCAGCAGTTGTTGTGGCAATAATGTGGCAAGTTGCTATTACATTGCCACTTCTGTTGTCAGTGTCAAAATTCATAGATTGCTACTTTAGAATAGTGTGTGGCAAGCTTGTTGCGGCGAGTTTACTTTCAGAAAGCAAAAATAAAATAAAATGCTGCAAGCACTCAACTGACAGCTTCGAGTTTTGCAGTCTTTGGCAACTTTTTTTATTTAAAGAAAAAAATTAATAAAAATCATTTAAGGATAAAAATAAAATTCCAAAAAAAAATTATTAAAAATAAATGAAAAAATACAAATTTTTGCAGAAAAAACTAAAAATAAAATCTTCTATGTAGTTTGTTAAATGTGCGTATAGTAAAAAATCTCCACGGTGACTTTTTTGGCGCACGCAGCAAATTTGAAACTCGCCTGTCGTTCGTGCCACACAATAAGTACGCGGCAAGGTCTGTTGCAACAATTGCGCGTGCAAATTGCCCAGTTGTGCCGTTACATTTTGTCACTACACACATTTCTACATGCATATATTTGTTAGTGAATGTGTTTAACGGTAATAAATGGGCACACAGACTGCATTGCGTTGCCTGTGTTTTACTACAGTTCTTAGTTTTTATTGCCACTACATACTACTTTATGTTTGATATTTTTTTTTGTTGTTTTTTTGTTCTTGCAAGGCACGCAATTACGTTAGTTTGGCACATTCTGTGTGGCACTAAAGTGTAGATTTGGTGTTTGTAACTTTTTTTCTAGCAGAAAAATGTAATTTTCCTTGGCAGCGGCGCAATATTTTCTTTTCACTTCTTTAGACTTTTAGCCAAAAGTTGTTTTATTTCATGAATTTTGTTTTTTATTTCTTTTATTTTCCTCTTACCTTATTACAATTTCTTTTTGGCGCACTCTTTCTTCTCCTTCCATGTTTTTTTCTTCCTCTCGCTCTCTTTTCGTTCCCTCAATTTTGCTCTTGTTACTCACAATTTATTAACTGCAGTTTCCCTTCCTCTCGCTCCCTTTTCGTTTCTCCTGATTTTTTCTTTCATTTGCCATTCATTCACTGCAATTTCCTTTCCTCTGCACACAAAAATTTTTATGTTAAGTGTCGCGTTTCTTAGATTTTTCTAATACCTTCCGTGCACAATACGACAAAGACGTGACTCACATTTGGCTGTTAACCAACTCCAAGGTTTTTTCACATTTTGACAAATTGCTCAAAAGTGTGCCAGCCCGTTTTGCAACACTACACTGTTATGCCATTTGCTGTTTGGTTTGGTGATAAATCGTAAGCTGCTGCCACGTAAGTAAACCCAAGCTTGGCATTCCAAATGAGTTGGGGAGGCAAAAGGGTTTTGATTCTGTGCACATTAAGCTTGGAAGTTATGCTGTTGGGAGAAAAAGAAACAGTGAATTTAGGAAGACACCTTCAAAGCAATGTCAAAAATTTTACTTACTCACCTGCAGTGTGGTTTGAATATTTCTCAGTTCAGCAGCAATTCAACTTTATGTCAAACGAGCTTGTTCCTAAATTTTCTCTCATGATAGCCTCGCATAATTCTTTTATTTCATAAAACCCCCTCTTGTGTAGCTCAAGCACTCTTGCCGCTCTAATGAAATAAACTTATAAACATTGATTGCATATTTCTTCTTTAATATTAACTCCTTTGAACTTACGTCACTTCTAACCCATTCATGTAAGTCCGGCAGCTGGGGTTCGTAACAAACATTGACCCCGACATCGTCATGCATAATTTAATAATCCTTCAAATAGCATTAAGTCGTAAAAATATGATAAATCTTGTTGTAAAGTAGACAGGCGAGCAGGCGAGCGAGCGGGCAAGCCATCAACGATGCCGAGATACTTAACACATACTCAAAGGGTTGTGCCGGTCCAGCCCATCTTATGCCATTTTTTCACGTATTTGTCTTACAACACCTACACTACACGACCTCTGCGCATTTATTATTCACAAGCGACCCAAAATAACTGAAAGTAATAAAATATTAATGAAATTCCTGCAACACCTTTTTTCCAAAAGCATTCCATATTCGTGTTTGTGCCAATATCTATGTGTGTTTGCCTGCATGCGGTGCGCATACCTTACGGAAACTTTCATAAATTTCTACAACTTTTTCTTCTACTATTTGTTTTTTTACTTCTATTTACGTTGTGCTTAACAGACTTTAGCATTGTAGGTGTTTCTTGGAAGTCCTTTTGCTTTGCTTTCGTACTCTTCTTGGGATCCTTGCGCCCATTTCATCATTACTGCTCTCTCATTTATACGCTCAACCGTTAGAACGCTAATACCAACCTGTATTCCACTCGTCCACAGCTGAGTTTGACGGCGGGCAACCCGTCGTCGAAATCGTTTTCATTGCTTAACACCTTCATTTGCTTGCTCAGTGGATTTTGTGTTTTCAACGTGCCGCTTGGCGCTGTCAGCATTTGCTTGTAACGGTATTTTAAGGCAGCACTCTGACGGCATTTCTTTGCAAGTGTCTACAGCATTCAGTTCATAAGCTTGGCACTTGTGCTCAGTTTTTCAGACACCCTATCTCTCTTTCTCTCGCTCTCTCTCTCTCTCTCTCTCTCTCTCCCAGCTGTGCTTGTAATTTACAGCATGCCAATAAAATAAAGTCTTACCGCTTGGCATCTGGCAGCCAAGCAGGCATTCAGGTGGAATTTCTTATAAGGATTTCTACTTAAATGCGCCACTTGACAGCTAGTCTGCGAGGGAAAATATCACTACAACCGCGTGCCTTTCATTTGGTAGACGAGCAACGGTACATTAGCTGTTTGCAGCCAGTTTATTTTGCATTTTTACGTTTATTTTGTTCTTTGTAAACTGTTTCGTTTGTTTCTTGCCTGTCGTCTGCGTACTTCGTCACAATTTCGAAGGTAAGTCATCATCAAGCGACTCAGAAGCTCAACGTCTTAACCTTACCCAATTCAGCCACTCCCACGCGCAGCAGTCAGTAATTTTGTGGCATTTTTGGCAGGTGCAGACATTTAAGGAATTCTCACTTGTAAGCGCAGGTGGCATACTTGTTGACGTTGCCACAAAACAGGCGCGCGAATGTGCTTCACAGCAATTACTTATTTCAAGATACTTCTTTGATGAGCTTTGAAGCATTAGATGCTGTAAGGTCGCTGACTGGCAGGGAGAAAAAGTTACAGAAATTTTAAATATCAATATTTTACTTACATGCCACACACTACGTGAAGGAATAAAAGCTAGTTTTCCCGCCAGGCGGTATGTCATTGCCACCCGTTCTCTCTCTCTCTCTCTCTTCATACAAGAAACTTTTCCACTTTACAATTTTTACAACTTTTTCTACTTCATTGTGCAGCGCACTTGCATTTTTTCTATTTCGCTCTCGCTATTAGGTTTGTTTTCTTTGCATTTCTGCTGTTATTTATTTAACTTTACCTTGAAAAGCGCCACAAGTCTTCATCATCAACTTCTCGCATAACTCACAGCCCTCAGCATAGACTTTACAACTTGTCGAGTCATTTCGAGTGCGTACTTTGAGGTTATGCATATACTAGTAGCATGGCGACGGTCTCCTGTACTGCGGATGACGTCTGCTGTTGCTGACAGAAGGGTGTATTTATACGCAAACTTCCAGACATCTTGACTGCTGCACTGTATAGAATTAATAATTTCTTCGACATATATACGTACATATTTTTTTGTTTGCACCTTCAGCCTTGCTGATTTTTTCTTTTTATTTCTGTTATTCCACCCACGACACGTGAGTATAAATAGCGCTAGACTGTGCCGTCTACAGCTTACCGCTAGGTTTGCGCTCATTGAATGTCAAACAGCCTTGCCACCTAGCAGCGGAGCGGTTCAATAAACGAGATGCTTAGTAATTTTTTTTATCAAATTTAATGTTTTTTTTTTTAATTTTTTGCGTTTCTTTCTTCACTTTCAACTGTTGTTACTCCTGTTTTGTTGTAATTTAAACATAGACTTGCCGCTTTGATAGCCTCACATTTTTTAACGATTTTCAACATATGGTCCGTGCTCATGTCTACACGCCGCTTGCCACACTCACACGTCTAGCTTGAGGCTGCCTTGGTGTCTGCTTAACTGCATATTTGACTCGCCCGTTTACTTTAATGCTTGGCATGTTGTATTATGAAATCCTTGCCTTCAACGCTTTAAAGTGCAAAATGGGCGTGTGAATTTACAGTTATGCTGCTGCACACTCTACTTCTAACCAGCAGTGCGGTTATTACCCGAGTAGACTTTTTTATTACCTTTGAGGTTATAAAATGAAATGAAATTGAAAGTGTTGTCTTGAAATTTTATGTGAAATCGTGCTATTCCTACTTAGTTAGCCGGGCGAGCAAGTGAAACGAATCCGCTGCAAATTGTGTTTTAGCTCATTTATGGCCTTGCAGAGTTAGCTGAGTATTGAAAATGTAGGTTATGACTGGAAATTCAATTTAATATTTAAAAATTATTGAAATTGCTTTCCGCCGCAGGACACTATGCTAAAGCCATGGCTTAGGGTTGGGTTGATTTATGGTGAAATGGAAATTAAATACGTACATATCCAACTACAGTGATGAGCGTTATATATGTAAAAGATTAGTATAGATGATGACGTGGGTTGATCTGGAGAGCTGCAAAGGTACGAGCGGCTATTTTGAGATAATGATTTTACTTTTTATATGAAAAGTACTAAAATTAAATGAATTAGTAACAAAAGCGTTATAGAAGAAGAATCCAAAGGTGTATGGGACGGGTATAGAGTATAAGCCGGTCAAAAATTGAGAACGAGCGCAAGGGTGTTTCTCGTTTAACAATTTAGCGAACTCCACTAACCTTCGTATACATAATTTACCGTTATTAAAAAAAAAAATTTAACAAATCAGAATCCGAATTGCGTAAAAAAATAAGTTTGCAAGGCCAAAAAAATTTTGCCAAATTTTGAAACGACATAAAGTCACAAAAAAATTAAATTATCATATGCACGAGTGTAGAAAAAGGTTTCAGCGAAAAACGTAGTATACAAGAAAAAAAAAAATATAGGAGAAATCTCATGCAACGATGTGCCTGTTTGTTTGTTTATTTGACAAACTTGGCAAAAATTGGCAATTGGCAGCACTCCGCACATGTCATACGTGTGGCAACGTTTGGAAACGTGTAAACGACATATTTTTGCATTGACGTTATGCAGCATTTTTCATAGAATACATTTGTTTTAGCAATGACTGTGATATTTTTTCAAGACGTTTTTACATTTTGCCCACTACAAACGCATATGGAAAGAAAAAATATAGCGCATCCTCCACCTTGCCTTTCGTTAACTTACGAAAAGTTGGCATTGCGCTTTGCAATAACAATTGCTGCAGCAAAAAAAAAAAAATACAAATAAATAAAAAATAAAAATAAATTGAAACAGTAAAATAAACACAAAATAGAATTTTAGAATAACAATTGAAGCAAAAGCAATTGGCAAGCATACCGAGGAAATGTATGAGTAACGGAAGAACGGAAGAGCGGTAGCAACAACGTAAGAGCAGATGAAGACAGTGTCAGCTGCTGTAATTTTTGGTTTTCGGAAATTTTTTATTTTTATTAATTTTTTTTTTTTTTTTTTTTTGCAACTACTTCGCATCTCTCTCACACTGTACTCATACACTGTTGTCATTTTTCTTACTCTGCTCTGCGTTTCACTTGTTTTCCTACTATTTTCGCTCGCTTTCGTTATATATGTATGTGGATATACTCTTTTTTCTACTGCCGAACAGCCCATCCAAGTAAACACGTTGCGCAAATCAAATAAAAATTGAACATTTTTCCATTGCCATTGGCGAAAGTGCGCAAATATAAACAAGGAAAAAAAGCTCCTCATGCACTAGTCCTCGAAGAGAAGGCAAATAAAGTAAATGAAAACTTCTGTGCTATGCTTTTACTAATAGTAGGAGAAAAAACCGACGCCGAAAATTCTCATTACTCATTTTCCACTTATAACTGACAAATGAAATGAAAACAAACGCACGTACTTGCAACAAGAAAAAAAACGCGCAAATGTCAGCAAATCATCTCTTGCTATTGCACTAGGTTTTTCACTCACTTTCTTTTCAATTTATTTTTATGTCAACAAATAATATTTTTCTTATGCTCAAGTATTTGCCTGCTTTGTGGCAGCTTGTGCTTGTATACCATGCCACTTGGCGTTGGGAAATAATAAAATGTCAAATAATTTACTTTGTTCTCAATGGATTTGCTTTATTGCTTTAATTTTTTGTTTTGTGAAAAAGTAGCAAACTCGAAAGTTCGTTGGCACGCAAGGCATGCAATACTAATTTTGTGCTGCGCCCTTTATACTTCGCCTTCAGCATTTTTCTATATTTTTTGCCTTGTTTAAAACAATGCATTGGTATGTTGTATGTGTATTCTCATGAGAAAAAGAAACTATTTAATTTCCACTTCAAATAGCGCATCAATTCTCTCAAGCAATGTCAACTTTACTGCACTTTCTAGAGTTCTTCTACTGTTTCGCCAATAATTTTCTAATGACTAGCTGTAGTGGCGTTGCATGCAACTAATACTAGACATTAACTGCTCTTTCTTTTTCAAGTGTAATATAAAACTTTTGGTTTCGTCCACTACTAAAAGTAGCTGTATGTATCTACATACGTACCAACACGTACGTATATCTTTTGCGCCACTAACACGTACCACAGATTTTATTTTCCAAATCTGTACTCATGCAGTGTTTAGTTTTAAGTACACATTTGCTTCACTACTTTTATTCGCTGCACTTACTACTTTTGCAGCTGCTGTCAACACTATTTTCGGTGTTATGCTTGTACTGTATGTACTCGTATGTATGCATGTACATCTTACACTTTTTGGTAGCGACCATAAGGCGCGGACTGTAGCATAAACTCGCTGCTACTACTTTTTCTGTCGTCGTGTTTTATTGACTTGCCTTAACACGAAATGCGCTTGTATGTAGTTATGTAGTAGTGGTAGTAATGATGGTAGTAGTAAGGATATACTTATTTTTGCAG